TACACACACACACACACACATACACACCCCACAGCCACACCATTAGGGGACATTGGAAGTGAGGTAAAGAAACAGCAGGCTTGAACAGAAGCCAGGATGGGCCAGAAAAGCTAATGCTGAGCCCAGCCTTTGATTCTCCAGGATGCTAGCACTTCTTTCTGAATAGAATGAAGCAGACCATGAGGGACAGACAAGGTTGGCTTTCCCGTGGACCTGAATGTGAAGATGGGAATATTATTTTTGTTTTGTACTTAATAAGCCCCTCACAGTCTCTGAAACAAAGAGAATCCAGAAACAATGATTATTGGCCTTCCTAGGCCACACAGCACTTAGAAAGTGGGTTCCCTCCTCAAAGCTTAAAAAGCCACATGTGCATCTCTGCTTCCCCAGATAAGGAGACCTTTCACATACCTCAGAAGGAATGTGAAAGGTAGAGGATGAGAATTCCTGTCCCTGCTGACCCCCTTGAAACCTGACAGCCACACACAATCCCAGCCAGCCCTCCAGAACCTCCCAGCTCAGGCCAAATGCTTCCCAGGAGATGAACATTTACTTGGAATAAGTTCCACTACACCAGAAAACACCTACCTACCCAGAAGTCTTCCTGGGTCCTGAGGAATTCCCAAATCCCAGATCTTCCTTCTCTCCATCACACAGTGACATTTTATATAGGGACTTTGGAGGAAGTTCCCCAGAGGAAGGAAGGTTTGCCACAGCCTGAGGGAGGTGGGAGGGCTGATAAGAACCCTGCATTTCTTCAGTTGCCTGGGGAGACCACTCATTACCCTCCAGCTTCTCTCCTGTCACCCCTTTCGGGAACCTGGGGGGCCACTCTCAGATGTCTCAGAGCCAGTGGTTCCTATTCTGTACTGCATTTCAGAATCTCCTTGGGAGCTTGTCCAAAAGGCATGGTTCTGCTGCTTTATTGGTGGGAACGTGAACTGTCACAGAAGTTTTAACCCTGAAGTATGTTTCATTAGCTTCACAGTAAACCTGCCTCCAGGAAAGTTGGAGTGTGGGCATAACCATGAGGACTTAGCAGAAACGAAGTTAACTGTAGATGAGGGCTGGCCCCTCGAAGGAAGGTGCAGAGAAAAGGGGTGTGGGCAGCTTTGGGAGTAGTTTGGGACGATCAAGCAGTGGGCACTTGCAAAGGCCCAACACGACTGATCTCCCACCGCAATGAGAGAAGGGGTACGATTCCCACACATAAGGCCCATCACCCTTCCCTGACTCTGCCTTCAACCCTCAGCTCCATCCTCAGGATGGTGGGATAACACCACCCGAGGAGCAGCCTCCAGAATAAGGCCGTGTCTGGAGATCTGATCAGCAGACACATCAATGAAGACAGCACTGCATTCTCCAACCAGGAGACCCACAGGCATTCCCGGTGAATCCAGCTCTGAGGAGCCTGGGCTGGGGCTGAGGACATTCTCTGAGGAGGATATGGAGGCAGCGGTGTCCTGGAGGGGCCCTCTTCCCCAGCCCTCTCTTTTCACACACTGGGCTGGTCTTCCTGCGGGTGCATCAGCCCATCCTGGCCTGAACCCCTGGGTGTGAGCCTGACGCTGTCTTCCCACAGCTGAACTAAGTTAGCGCTTCTGTGTGCTAGACTTCGGGTTGACATCAGTACTGATAAAATAGCTAACTTGTCTCTCCTGCATCCTGGTGTCCTCAGCACAGTCACCAACATAATCACATGGACCCGCCCACCAACCCTGGTGAGCTTGCTGTGGTTTGTTATTAATGCTATTTCATAGAAGAAGAAATGTGCAATACATGGAAATTCAAACTGGAACCAATGCTCATTCCTACCCCTACACTGCTTACTTAATAACTCTGCACAAAATCCAACATTTAGTGACACTCTGCCATTGCCAAGCCAAGGGCTAAATGCATTACAGATGTTGTCGTACTCAACTTTTATTTTATTGAAGAAGAAACTGCGGCTTAGTAAGGCTAAAAAAATTGAAATGTAGAACTGGGCCTCAGACCCAGAGCTTTGCGATTCTGGGGGCTAGGATCCTGACTTCTGTGCTATGTCTGTCCGGGAAAAATTAGGACATTCCTGGGCACCTTCTTTTCTATATGTGTTGTGTTAAACCAGGTTCTGCTGCAGTAAGAAGTAGGCTGCGAAATCGCAAGTTTTACTACACACAGCAGGCCAGACAGCACCTTCCATCAGGTAGCTATGCCTTCAGGGACACAGGGACCCCCAGATCCCTGTGGCAAGGACAGTGAGAATGGAAAGAGCATAGGGGGTCATTTAAAGTCCAGGCCTGGAAGAGACTTACATCATTTCCTCCCACATTGCATTGGCCACATCCAGTAGCATGCTGCAGAGCCCAACTTATGCAAGGAATACCAGGAAACACTGACTACCTCAGTCCCCAGCAAGAAAAAATGGTGAACATTGCACTCCCTGCTTCCTTATCTCCTTTTCAATGGCTTCTCTTCTCCACAACTGCCCTCTCCCCATGCCCACTGACAGTGACACACATCCTTGCCGTCTGTGTTTCTTCTACAAACCTCCTTCTCGGCAAGTTACCAATCAACCTCCCAGATGCATTAAGAGATAATACTCTTAGGGGTTTCTTCTCCTAAGAGTATTTGCTTTTTAATCAAAGGCTATTCAAGATTGCAAGGCCTTAAACAACCAAAGAAATGAATATATAATGGTTGAAGTCGAACCCAATAACAGACAGTGCTGGACATTTGAGGGACACCTTATCTACACTTGCCTGCCTCAAGCAAGCTTCAATCTGGAGAGGTCTAAGACCCCTCCTCTCCCTGCCATCCCTCTACCTCCAGTCTTAGCTTGCAGGATATTGGGTGACTGGGATTGGCTAGAACCAAGTCCCCAACAAGGAGGTAAGTGGGGGCTTGCCATTTGGCCGAAATACCAGTCCCAGAGCTCCCTATGCAGAGCTTCCTTTACTGCCTATCCCTCCCACCTCCCACAGTCACATTCCACTGTTCTTTTAGAAGCAGAGTGTCAAGAATTACCCTGTTGCAGGGTCGGCCCTGTGGCTCAGTGGTTAAAGTTCCACACACTCTTCTTCAGTGGCCTGTGATTTGCAGGTTAGGATTCCGGGTGTGGACCTACTCCACTTATGGGCCATGCTGTGGAGGCATCCCACATACAAAGGGGAGGAAGATTAACATAGATGTGAGCTCAGGGCGAGTCTTCTTCACACATACACGAAAAAGAGTTCACTTGTATGCAATGCAGGGACCTGGGTGGAGGCCTGACCTCCAGGCAGCCCCGTTCCATGCCCTTGGGGAGACTGACATGCTGTGATTAGCAGCTTCCTGACTCAATCTGCACCCAAGGCTGAGGGACACACCCCTCTGTGGAGGACAGGCCTCTTCACCAGAAGCAGTCCCTGAGGTCCAGCATTGGTGAGATCCATGGCAAGCCCAAGAACCGTGGTCCCGTTGTCAGAGGCCCGCTCATATTCAGGGAACTCAGCCCTGCTGCTTCTTCGCCACCCGCCTCCCCTGGGGTTTTCCACCCTGTCCTGTTCCACCACCTCCAGAACCTTTAGAAAGAAAGCACATCTGGGAGACCGTTCTTTTAGTTCCTAAAACTCCACATCCCATCAGATGCCTCGACAGGCATACACGTGCTCACACACAAACGTAGACCTGTACACAGGTGTGCTCAGACACACACTAACATGTATACACACCCCAAAACATACTGGCCAAAGGCACACAAGTACACACGTGCGTGCACACACAGATTCAGGCATCTTATGGTGCGGAGCTTCATAGGTGTCTGCAGACACACAGGCCTATCCATAAATACACAAAGATGTACAAAATGTACACCCTCAAACAACTCACAAATACACACTGACTCAAAGATTTACGCACATTTACATGTACAGATTCACACATACACAGATACACACAGGTATACAAAGAGTGACTCACTTACACACCCAAACACATATACACGCATGTGCACGTGCATCTCCAGAAATATTTGTATCTTCTCCCTGTGCCCCATGTAGAACGACACCCAAAGAAGTATTTCTGTCTCAGAGTGCCCCTCTCCTTCTCTCCCCACAACCCAAGGCTGTCTGCACTCTTAATACGCAGTCTCAGGTCTGAACTTCTGCTTCATCAGCCCCAGATCCTACTGGGAGCCAAGCATCCTGCCTCGAACAAGGTAAAGAGTAGCAACAGTTCTCTCTCTCAATGTCCCCTGGGTCAGAGAATGAGGAATGAGGGAGAGAAGCTGAGGCCTGGGGCTGTAGACACAGCATAGGAGCCACAGGCTACCAGATACCCTGACTGGCCCCAAGGCCCTCCTGCTGGGAGACACCTCCCTCCCAAGATTGTGGCCCCTTTAGGGAGGTAGGTTGTGGATGTGGAAGAGGGAGAGGGTCAGGGAGGGGGAAGGACAGCCACCCTCCTGGGAATGGAGTGGGGAACAGATCTCAGAAGTTGGGGCCTTTCAATTCACCCACAGTGGCTGGAGGAATGCAAAGTAGAGGCGACTAACTGAGGCCAACAAGATAGAGGACTAGAGGAACAGGCTGCCCCCAGACAAGACTACTAACTCCTACCTCCCACGTGCTTATCCACATGGCATCTCACTGCTCCACCCCAATCCTTGAATCAGCAAGATCGCCTCCGTTTTGGAAAGCCACCCCACTCCCACCCCACCCCACATCCCATACTGAATCCAAACAAAGCAATAGGGCCAGTTCCCCACCCCACACCTAATGGGATCTTCCCCAGAGCCTGGGGGTGAGGGGTGGGAATCCCGGAACCAGAGCTGAGAAGGGTCCTCCCGAGTCCATGCTCCGCCCCCAGATGGCGCTGCAGCCGAACACCTCAGCACCCCCAACCACCCCAGCTCCACCACCCACTCCACCTCCACCACCTTTTACTTTCCTCAAAGCCCCACCCTGCAGGAGTGAGTGATTCCAGGGGTTTCCAGCCCCGGGGATTCCTCCAAAGTGAGCAGTGAAGAACGAGTCAGGAGATGCTGTGGCAAGTCTGATTTTATATCCAGGAAGGACAAGGGGACGAGCCCAGTGTCCAGGGGGCAGATGGGAAGCTGTGAAGGGAGGAGGCTCCAAGGCAGGGTTTCCGTGTAACCGGCTTAGGAGGAGCAGATGAAGGGCATACGCGTTTCGCAAGGAGCTCGTCGCCAGTGACCATCTGGGAGTAGAGAGCACAGTGAGGTCAGCTGCCCATCTGAGTGTGGCTTGTGCCCCCCTCCGTTTCTCCTCCGGCACCTCATACCCTCCCTCGCCTGCTGTGGCTATGATCAGTCAGCCATATGTTGCGGACACATCCCTACCAGCTAACATTTCTAGAGCTCCCACAGTGAGGGAGGCAGGGTGATTAAGTGCTTTCATCTTCACAATGACTCCAAGAGATGGGTGCTAGCTCATCCCCATTTCCCAGATGAGGAAACTGAGGCTTAGCGGGGATAATGACTTGCCTGTGTCTCAGCTGGCCAGAGGCAGAGCCGGGATGTGAACCAGAGCAGTCTTACTCCAAAGCCTATGGTCTTAGCCATTGTACTAAGCTCCCTCACATCCCTCATCCATGCTGTTGGAAGCTGGAGAACTGTCTGTTAGCCATCCATAATTCCCACATCTTTCCTTCATCTCTCATCCACACTTAAATTCACATCTGCTACTCTCATCCGTCCCCTCATATCAGGAGAGGGAAAGGACGTCCCCCTACCCCAGGCTGTAAGATAGAAAGCCCGCATCTAACCCCCACACAGGACACCCCATCACCTGGTTTTGCTTTGAGGAATCTGTCCCTACATCTCAGCCCTTCTCACAGAGAGGACATTGGCTCTCCAGTTGGGGGGAGGGTGTGAGTTTCGGGAAGTGTTTGAGACAGCTCGAAAGGACAGTATGTAAGAGTCCACATTGCCCCCCTTCCCCTTTCCCAGGCCCCCTCACCTCTGCTGCTTAGAGCAACACAGCCACCTCTCCCATTTCCAGGCTCCCCTGGGGCCCAGTTTTCATAATCCCAGGAGCTCCCATCAGTCCAGTGAAATCTCCTGCGCCACAACTAGAGAAGGGATAGGCTGCATCAGAGGGCAGACATCCAGGAAGACAGAGACAATCACGGGCTCCAGAGAATGCCCACCGAGCACCAAGCATCCCTTTCTGGACACTCACTATATGTATAATCTCTTCTCACTGTTCACCCGGCTAGAAGCCAGATACACTAGAGATCCATCCCTGAGTGCAGGCAATGGCATCATCACACAGACTAGGCTTCTCAAACTTCATTGTGTATACAAACCTCCTGGGGATCTTGTTGAAATTCAGATTCTGATTCAGGAGGTCTGGGGTGCGGCCCAAGATTGTGCATTTCAAGCAAGCTACCAAGGGATGCTGATACTACTGCTTCATGGACCACCCTTGAGTAGCAAATGTCATGGCACTTATTCATCCGGAATCCCAGAGCCACTCTAACAGAACAAGGACTCCATTTTAGACAGGAGGCACCTGAGGCTCAGGGAAGTCATTCAGCTAGTAAGTGGAAAAGATGGGCATGGAGCCTATCTCATGACGTCAGTGGTGTGCTGGTAAGTGTTTAACAACCAGCTCTAGGGGAAGGTGAGAAGGCAGAGGGACTTGTAGCGGTTCCCAATTTCCTTGTTGTAAATTCATCCACCATGGGAGATTACAAGCTACAAGCATGAAATCACTGAACATGGAGTTGGGAAGAGATGTGCATAGTCACTGGTTCTCCTGAGCCAGTACAAGCCAGCTCCAGCTCATCACCACCTGCCTAAGGTCGCCTCAGATGCTAGGATAAGACTTGAGGCCAGCAGGTGTACCTTTGAGGTGATCAGAAAGAACTTCCTGTACCTGGGAGTTGGCCCCTCACTTACCCAGCCCTTCAAGATGCCTCCAATCCAGGCCTGGCCTTGGTGGATATCCTTGATCTTGTACTGGAGGCAATGGTTTAAGCTGGAGCTGTGTATGGAGACAAGATGGCCTTGGTAGCACCTCTCACAGTAATTCTGCAGAGAGATGAAGAGGTGGTGTAAAGAATTCACTCTCCTTTTACTCAAGTATATGAGTCTCCAGCTGAGAGCCCTACATCCCTTTTCAGTTCATAAAGCAGGGACCTACCTTCCCCCCTCAATCTCATCGCTTGCTCCTTTTACTGCTGTCAGAATCTTCTTGCAGGAAATAATAATAATACTCAGCATCGTTATAGCCCCCATCTATTGAGAGTTTACAATGGCCCAGGGACTATTCTAAATACTTTCCATGTATTATCTCATTGAATCTTCACCAGAAGTCTAAGAGCTTGGAACTATATATCTCCATTTTACAAATAAAGATACTGAAGCTCTGAAAAGTGAAGTGACTTGCCCAGGTAACACAGCCATTGACAGGCAGAGCCAGGATTGAACACAGGTCTATCTAATACCAAAGCCTCTTGTGCAAATCAGTGGTTCTCAAAGTGCAGTCTCCAGGCAACAATATCGTCATCACCTGGGAATGCGGTATAAATGCAAACTCTTAGGCCCAATCGCAGACTTGCTAAATCAGAAATTTTGGAGAAGGGGCCCAGAAATCTGTGTTTTGGCTTTGAGAACCACTAGTCTAGATGGATATGGAACAGGAGGTTGGATCCACACTCTTCTTCTGCCATTGGTCCTGCACAGTAGCTTCCCTGCCACTCACCTGAGCTTGTGTAAAGTCCATGGGGCTCGGCACCAAAAGGTAGTTGACATTCTTGCACCCAGGATGGCCACGTAATTGTATTGTTTCCTCTTCCCTGGGGCACTGCAACTGTTCAGCTGGGGCTGCTGGGTCCAACTCCATGGCCTGCTCATCCTCAAAGGTGTCTTGATTGGTGGAAGCCTTAGCCTCCTCTCCTTCTGACTGAATCACCTCTGCTGTCAGGGCCAACTCTCCCTCCTGCTCCCCTGAACCTTCCACATCCTGGGTCAGGTCTGCCTGTGTCTCTCGGATGTCCAAATGGGGGTCATCATTCTCTGGGAAGAAGAGGTAACTTACCATCAGATGAGTTCTCCCCTCTTCCAGGGCTGTGGACAGCTCTGATCCGACTCAAGCCTTATTATGGACGCCACCTGGCGATAAGACTGGAAGGATCTCTGAGGTGTTGGGTGAGGCAAGAACTCTTGGGTCATATGCACAAATGGATGAGAACCTGACTTCTGGCTGACACCACAGGTGTGTATTTCGGGGGTGGGAGAATGCACCTGTGAGAAGCCCTTCGCCTACACAAGTGGATAGTTTTTCTCTGTGAAGGGGCCCTGACAGAAAGTTCAGGTCACAGTTGTGAGTCCAGGAGAAATCTTAACAGAGATGAGCTGGGTCAACTGAAGAGGGGAGGCTGTGGCCTCGGCCCCATGAGTGCAAAAACAGTGCAGAAAAGAGGAGAAAATAGAAATATAGATGAGACGAGAAGGGGAGGACTTACCCAGATGAAGAGCAGCAACTGTCCCCAGCAGGAGAAGGGGCAGGAGCAGAGGGCATTTCATATCTACTCAGTCTTGTGACAGGGACACAGCTCCACCTTGCCTCCCTGGGATGTCCAGTGTGTCTACACAGCCCCCGGCACATGGCAAAGAAGAAGAGTTTGTTTAACTGGTTTATTAAAGAGCAATCTAGAGAGCTTGCTTCTCTTCCAGTGAACAGACCCTGAGCTGGAGAATCAGGGAAAGGACGTGGGGGTGTCGGCTCAAGGTGAAAAGTCCCCTTTTTCCTGAGAACTCCATCACTGCTCGCTGGAACAACACTTAGCCTAGACCCTGTAAGAACAGGTCTGCTCAGGACCAGGGCCAATTTCACTCACAGTGGAGAAGAAGAGGGAAGAAGTGTAGCTATTAGGGTCCTAAGGACAGACCTCTGAGGTGTTTGCCAGATAGGGTTCTGCTTCCTCCCAAACCGTGGACACCTCCTCCAAGGGCAGCCAGGGGAGCACTCACCTCCTGAGAGTCTGAGGCTGTCCTCTCAGTGTCTCTGGCTGCTGGCCCCAGAGGCAGCCCTTATAATGGGCTTTTGGGGAAGTGGGAAGAGACTCAGGGTGGGGTGCGGAGCATTGGAGCTGATCAGGAGTTTGCTCAATCCTCTCCCGCCTGCCTCTCTACTATGACTGCAGGGATCTGCCTCCTGGGGTCTACTGCCATTCACCCTGATGGGCTTGAGAAGACCCCAGACGTCTATTGTCGAGGCAAAGGTGTTACTATTGCCCCTAAAGGGCCCCAATCTGAACAATACTCCTTAATCCAAGGATCAGCTTCCCTTTGGTCAATATCCCAACAAATGGAGTGGAGAATCCAGGGATCCGGGAGACCAGGAGAAGAGGAGGTAGGAGGTGAAGGGAGCCTCAGCCCTCCTTGGCCCTTATCTACAGTAAGCACTTTACATGCATCACATCCTTGAATCTTCACTTTCATCTCTATCCCATGAGGACATATGATTATCCCTATTTCACAGACATGAAAAGTGAGATTCAAAGAGGGAAAGTGACTGGCTAAGATTTCACTGCAAGTGGGTGAACCAGGATTTCAAAGTCTTTTTTGGCGCTGAAACCTCTGTCTCCCTGTCTCCCCCTCCCTCCCTCCTTTCCTCACTCTTATTCTCCCTCTCCCTCCCTTTCTCACCTTGAATGTGTGAAAGACGTATGCTCTTTCTTCTGTACTCAGGATCTAGATAAAGATGCTCAACCTTTGCACTCTATTTGGAGTCCATTCTCTGTTGTGGGGGCCTGCCCTGTGCATTGTAAGAAGTTTAGCAGCATTTAGTAGCATAGACCAGTGTCTACCTACCAGAGCGCAATAACACCTCTCCAAGTCATCACTATCAAAATGGTCTCTGCATATTTCTAAATCTCCTCTGGGGAGCAAAATGACCCCAGTTGAGGACCACTGATCTAGAATATGCCATTTTGTCCAACTTCAGGTCATATCTTTCCAGCAAGGAGGCAACAGCTCGAATGGAAAGCCTCAGGCAGAGTCATTCAGACATGGGTGGACCACCCTCCCCACCTCACCAAACCGTCCACCTCCCACCAGCCATCTATTATCACAAGGTCAGGACTAGGGACAAGTGAGTGAAGCAAGATTTAAGGATGCAGAAGGCAAGGCAAACAAAATTTCAATGCAATCTTCCTTAAAAGTCAAAATGAACGCAAAAATACCAAAACTTCCATCAACCAAGCTCCAGCCAAATTCAGTGCAGTCCAAGGAGAGACTAGCAAGTGCTAAGCAGTGACTTTGCTGGATATCACTGCCAAGAGCTAGTGGACTTGTCGGGGTGGAGGACTCAACTCTGTGACCTCCTGGTTTTCCTCAGATCCAGCTCAGCCCCCAAGTTCTCAGGGCACCAAGAACAGGTTACCCAAAGTGTGAAAAGGCCTGGATTCCTTCTCCTCTGTTCGCTCAAGGCACCTACAAATGGAGAAGTATCAGAGAGGTTACTTCTGGGCCTGATTGCAGAGTAACCGTCCTTGCTGCTATCTCGACAGCCCATCGGACCAGATCCTCAGTTTATCTAGCTGACTAGGGGGATTGGCCAATTCCAGGGCCCCCAAACCCTGGTCTCGGGGTTTCAAACTTCAGACCTCTTAGTGGAGGAGGGGGTAGAGGACTAAACCTCCTCCTCACTGTTCTCCCCCGTCCTGGGGCCGAGGCCAGGGGCATCATTTCACGGAGTGGTTGGGTTGACCAGTAGGGTCAACCACTCTCTTGAAGCAGCATCACAAGCTTTGCATGTGTTGATTCATTTCAACATCCCTGTTTTACAGATGAGGAAATGACATCTCAGAGCACTTAAACAAGGTGCCCAAGATCACACAGCAAGTGAGAGACAGTTCTAAACCGGAGACAGGCTCCTTTTGGACTCATGACTACCTTCCCTCTGCCTTCTCTCACTCACCTCCGTTCTCCCCAGCCGGCCCCTCCTCTGCATTAACCCAGTTTTCTTTGCACACGGACCCTGGGCAAAGACATTCCAATGACTTCCTCAGTGACCACAGTGATGTCCATCCATTAGCTCACACAACTCATAAGAAGTAGCATGCTGACCGTACTCTGTCTGACTCCCAAGTCCTCGCGTTTTTGGACACACACAAATGTGTTACCTCCAGACACTCTAGCCAATGGTGCCAACATTTTCAACATCCGTCACCTTCCAAGTCTCTGGCTTACTGTTTGCATTTATGCTCATAGGGTTTTCAAACTCTGCCTCCCCAGAGTCTGTCCACCTCCACATTATGCAGAGGGTGTGTTTTGCCATCTTGAGAGGCAGTGTTGTGTGATGTATAATGAAATCACAAATCCCAGAGTCAGCCCTCTGTGTCTCAGTGTTCTCATCCATAAGCTGAGGCTAATGCCAGAACCTACCTCTAATGAGATCAGCTTCAGTACAGCTCTCAGAGCTGTCCCTGTAGGATGGTGTTGGGAGTGGCCCTTGTCAGGAAACCAGGGCTACAACTATGACCTTAATCAACACAGAAGCCCTGAGTGTAGATTCGGCTCTGTGCTTTGCACGATGTGAGGAGCTCCACCGGTTCCATTGTAAACACACCATCTTCCTTTCACAGAGCTTAGTTAATATCTTGTTGGACAGGAAAAATAGACACAGAAACCTGTATTTTGAAATGTGAAGCCAGTGCCCTTATGTCATTATTTTCATTTTTTAAAAGATTTTTCGTGGATGCATAACATGCATTTTGTCAAGTATGGCACACTGCTCAGGGAAGTTTTACAGAGTGAATGCTCTCCCATAACTGTGCCCACAACAAGATACAGAAGGTTCCCAGGAACCCAGACGTCTCCTTCATTCCCCTCCTTGACATTAATCCCCCGAAGGGGATCTCCATGGACTGGAAGTCACACTTCTGTCACAACACACGCCCCCAACAGAAGAGATTTGTGAGGGACAACACAAAATCCACCTGCCACTTAGCACAGAGCCTGGCACCTAGTAAGTGCTTAATAAACGGGAGATTTTGTTACTCTTTTTATTAATATAGGAATAGAGGGAAATCATGCCTTCCCACACCAGAATATAAAGTCCATGAGGGCAATGAGTGAAAATTCTACTTCAGCTGCATCATCCACAGTACCCAGCACAGGGCTGAATTCATAACAGTGTTTCAGAGTTCCAGCATCTTTCAAATCAACAGACTATAATGGTACAATTACAACATTACAATGGAACTGTTTGATTTCTATCTCTTTCTCAATTTACTGTGCAAACTTGAGCAAGTAGCTTCTCCTATCTGGGCCATAGTCAAAATATTAAAGGTCTTGATTGGCCTCTCTCTATGACCTTGATCCCATCTGTTATTCTCTGGATTTGAGGGGTCCTGGAGGAAAGGGGCTTCAGGACACTGACCCCTTAGTTTCTGCTTGCCTCCCAGTTGGAGAGAGGATTCAGAATGCCTTCCTTCCTCATCTCTGATTGGGACACCCTCACCCCAGCTGGGTTGGAGTCCTATGCCCCAAGATGAACCCAAGGTTAAGGGAGTCCATCCTGCCGCACCCCACCCCCCATGCACTGTGCTCCACCCCACAAGATCGTGTCCTGGAGGGGAGAGCAGCCAACGCCTCCAGCCAGAGAGTCATAATGGTTAAAGCAACATGCTCTGGAGCAGATAGTAAAATCACAGCCTTGCTCACATCTGGGTATTCAGCCTTTGGAAAATCTTTTAACAGGTCATCCCTTCTCTGAGCCTGGCTCTGTAAAATGGGATAATAATTATTGATCACACAAGGTCATCTATGTAAGATGCCTGCCACAGTAGGGGGTCATTTGTAGGTGTACAATGTGGTAACAATTTGTAGCTATTGCTGTGCTTATATTACAAATAAATGTATGTTCCCCAACAGTAAGGGGCTGTGTCCTAACATATTCCCAGGCCTTATATAGGGTTGAACATATAGCAGGTTGTCTGATATTGGGTTTCCCAAGGAGCAGATCCTAAGTCAAGAATTTGTGTGCAAATTTATTTGAGAGGTGCAAGGACACTAATAGGGAAGAGAAGAATTCACAATAAAATGTCTGTTGTAAAGACAGCTACCTCAGCGTGTAACAGGAAGTTAATTCCCCTGGGTAAGGGTACCCAGGTCATGCCTTAGAATTATTCCACCCGAGGGACTGGGGTGCTCAGATACCCACTCCTGAGAGTTGTCGGCTGTACCTGGGTCATGTTAATTTCTTAGCACATTAAGGTAACCACAGTCTGTAGGAGAGAGAGGCCAGGACATTGAGGGTCCACCGTGAAAGATTCAAGAGGGATGGATGGGGTCCTGGCAGAACCTGTACATAGGCGCCCGGTAATTTGGTGTTGTATGAAAAGAGCTAGCTGAGCCCATTCGTCTGTCTCCAGTATGGCCCCACAAACCCCATCCCATGTTTCCTGTTCCATGAGAGTGATAACTTCTGGTCCTTTTCATGACAGACAGAGGAGTAGGGAGTCATTGTAGGACAGAAAGTTCATGAGTGGGGCTGAGCCAAGTGGATCAATGATCAGAGGAAAAGTAAATCAATTTTAGGAAAACAATTTTATTGCCAAGGGTGAGGGTAGGGGAAGCAGGCAGGGGAGGGGAGGCAGTGTCCTAGGAGGGGGCAGCTCTGAAGTCTTGACTGGGTCCCACTCAGTAGGAACAGACAAAGGGGAGGGCCACGTTGCTGTGAGATAGTCTCCAGCGACCTCCTGTGAAGGCAGAACCAGAAGGGCTTGTTTCCCCTGACTCAGCCGCAGGAGTCTTCACTCCCCACCCCACACCACAATTCAGTGGAGATGAAGTCTGTAGATTCAGGAGGCGTCTCCCTTGAAGGGTTCAGCTCTTCCTCGCAACTCCTCTAGGAGCCCATCCCACCTCCCCAGGCCTTTTCAGATTTCATCCCCACTCCCACCTTACCTTGAGTATACATGGACACACAGTTGCCACCACAAGCCGAAGGCTCGCCAGTAGCCCAGAACCAAAAATCCCAGGCACTGCCATCCAACCAGTAAAATCTC